CCCCGGGGACGCTCGCCCTGGGCGCCTGCCTCCCTTCTGCCTCTCATCTCGGGTCCCACGTCCTCGTCCTCCCAGGCCAGGGGCTGATGTCCTCGCTCAGCGTGTGGCAGCAACACGGGAAGGCTGTCCGGAGCCGGTTCTGGAAGGATTCGGGGCAGGCAGCTTCCCAGCCCACCTCCCCCAAGGCCGTGTTCCCCTTCCGGCTGTTCCCTTTCTCCCGTGACTGTGGCCCTCAGCCCCCCACGGCCTGCCTGCTGGGACCCGTGCCCACCTGCTGGGACTCGCCCGCCTGCTGCCTCGTCGCCCTTAGCCAGCTGGAAGCAGTCAGAACAAGTCGCCGTCCCTTATCACCAAAAGGCCGGGATGTTAGGTCAGAGAGAACCCAGGATCGGATACATGCAGACATGTGATGAGACAATGGACTTCGCCTGGACGCCTGCTGGGACTCGCCCGCCTGCTGGGACCCGCGCCCCTGCCCTGGAAAGGCCTGCGCGCAGCAGGGAGAGGCATCCTGACCGAGTCAGCCCTCAGCCACCTCTGCTCTGAGGCTGCGGTGCCACCCGGAAGGTTCTGTCCCCAGGACTCAGGTGTCTCATGTCCAGATGCAGAACAAGGGGCCGCTTTGCGCCTCCGTGAGCGGGTAAGAGCCACACGGCCCACGCGGCCCTCAGCTCACGCTCAGCGCTCTCATGTCGGCGTATCACCCTGTCCTCCCTGAGCGACGCCTCCCCACGCAGAGCTCAGTGGAGCATGGCCCCCGGGGGCCCCAGGGCGACCGTGGGGGCGCCTGCGGGAGGCTCTCTGCCCGGAGACAGGGGAGGGGCCACTTGCTGCCCATCACCCGGGGCCGAGGCTCCATTTCTGGGCCCTGTCCTGGCCCGCGGACACCTCTCTAACGACGGGCTGCCAGGTCCCGGGCTCTGACACAAAGCCCCTACTGTGCGCCTGTCGGTGCGAACCTACTGCCCTGATGACGTAACTCAGGAGGAAGGAGACAAAACTCCTGTGAGAGCAGCTGCTCACCGCAGGGAGCTGGGCAACACTGCGCCCTGGGGCACGGAGGGCAACCGGAAAACGGACAATGTGACAGCGCGCCCTCCGCCTCTCCCTCCTCCCCACGCCTTTCCTGCCCCGCGGGAGCAGTTCACATCGTCCCTGCACACGTGTGAGCGTGGCTGGCAGGAGAGGGGCCAGCACATGTGTGAGCGTGGCCAGTAGGACAGGCGGTCCCAGCACATGTATGACCGTACCAGTAGGACAGGCGGTCCCAGCACATGTATGACCGTGGCCAGGACAGGCGGTCCCAGCACACGTATGACCGTGGCCAGGACAGGTGGTCCCAGCACACGTATGACTGTGGCCAGTAGGACAGGTGGTCCCAGCACACATATGACTGTGGCCAGTAGGAGAGGTGGTCCCAGCACACGTGTGACCGTGGCAGCAGGAGGGGTCAGTTGGGTCCCCTAACCTTGTACGTGTGGAGAGGGTGGCAGCTCCAGCCCCTCCCGCCCCCGGTACCTGTCGTCCACGTCCAGAGCCTGCAGGTTGCACTCGGGGACGCGGGCCAGTTCGGTGATGATGTCGCTGAAGCCGGCGGCTGCGGCCATGTGCACGCAGGTCTTCCCGCTCTCGTCGTCACAGTTGATGATGGACGGGCCCTGGTGGTGGCTCAGGATGATGGAGCACAGCAGCCTGTTCCCGCTCTGGGAGACGCAGAAGCCCCTATGCAGCTGCTGCACCAACTCCGTCTGCGTCTCCCGCCTGTGGGTCTCCTGCCTGTGGGTCTCCCTGACTGTGGTCTCCCCGCCTGTGGTCTCCCCGCCTGTGGTCTCCCTGCCTGTTTGATCCCTGGCGCCAGTTGGGGTGTGAGCGCGAGGCAATCAATGGATCTCTCTCTCTCCCCTCCCCCTCCCTTCCACTCTCTCTAAAATTCAATGGAAAGAATCCCCTTGAGTGAGGATTGAAAAATAAAGAACAGGGGTTCCCACCCCAAAGAGCCCAGCGCAGCAGGCATGGAGGGTCTGCTAGGGGCCCCCTGCCCGGCCCACCAGGTCCAGGTCAGCGGCTCTGAGAGCAAGTGGCACCCTAAGGTCTGTAACGGCCCCTCTGCACCCTGGCAGGGTGTCCTCTCACCAGCTGACGCCCCCACATCCTCCCAGGGGCAGGCTTGCTCTCCCGGGGACACGGATGGGGGAGGAGACCAGGTGAGCCTCCCTGTGTAAACGTAGAAACTGCCTCTGAGTGTGAGGCTGCCTGTGGCCACCCACTCCCGGGCTGGACACGCAGGTCAGCAGGCCCTACCTGCACCGCCCAGTGCAGAGCCGTCTTGAAGTCCTTGTCCACCAGGGTGGGGTCGGCCCCCCGTCTCAGCAGGACCTGGGTGTGCTGAGGCTGGTTGTGGAAGGCTGCCCAGTGGAGGGGGGTCATTCCCTGGGAAACAAGATGGGGGTGAGCAGAGCATGGGGTGGGGGGAGCCCCCCGTCGGCTCACTCACTCCTCACATCGTTCGTCCAGCTCAGGTCCTGAGCGGCTTTGTGCTGCGGACACTTGGGAAGTGAGGGCAGCGAGACCCCTGCCCCCACGGGACTGCCCTGTGGGCGCGGAAGACGGACAGCACGCCCTCACGTGAGCCGAAGGGCCGCTCGGATCGCCGGATGCTGGAGACTCACGCAGAGCGCAGAGCCCCCCGGAGGAGGGACCGGGCAGGGCTGAGCCGGGCGGGCAGGACGTGGCTGGCCCGTGTCACCCGAGCTCCCTGCTGGCCGAGGCCTGAGCGTCCGTGTGCTATCCCCTCCACACCAGCTCTGGGTGAGTGACGTGAAGTCACCACGTCCACCAAACTGTTCCCTCCTCCTCTAGGGCATCAGGCCACACTGCCCAGCCTCCCCACGGGCCCTGAGGCACGAGACCGAGTCCTGACCATGGACACGTGACCATGGACACACACCACTGCCACGTGAGCGCAGCCACGAAGCCTCCCAGGCCGGCCCAGAAAACCAAGCCCACGTGGCCCGCACACATCTCTCCTCCCTCCCTGTCAGCTGGAAGCCGCGAGAGCCGGCTGCAGAACGTGCTGGAACCTCCTGTTAACAAGCCCGAGGCCCCTGGCAGGTGGCACAGGGCCATCACAGCCACCAGCGCCGGGCGGTGTGGCAGGTCCCTCTGCGTCTCAGCTTGTGCAGAGGAAGCCGGGAAGCCCACGTCGTGCGCGAGCGGAACTGGGTCTGGGTGTGGGGCCCGCCGGGCACTGGTGTTGACGTGGCCCCGGCCAGCTCCGTGTTCCACATCGTTAGATCGTGGTCTGCGCTCAAGTTTCCAGCTCCAGCCTCTGACGCGGAGCTTAGAGAGGGTTTCCTAGAATGGGCTCCATGTGGACAGGGAGGCGGGGAGAGCGCATGGACTTCTCAGGTCGTTCCCACGGCGAGCGAGCCACGGGGTCCACGCGTCCCAGGGCTCCTCATGGCCACACCAGCCCCTGGGCTTAGGGATCAGGACTCAGGGGAGGGGATTCTTTTTACTCCGTGTGGACGTCCTCTCGCGGGTCGAGGCCGCCAGCGTCTGTCACTGGCTTTGGTATGAAGTGGCTCCCGTACCTGGGACCAGGGCATCAGGACGACCGAGCGGCTGAGTGGGAGCCCAGAGCCCGGAGCGGGCACAGCGCCGAAAGACGCCGGCACAGGGAGGACCACCCGGCCCCGGCTGTGCCTCTGACTTTATAAAACCCGGCTCTGCCTTTTCAATCCGACACGCGGGCAGGGACGGCGGAGCAGGACCCCTGGTCTGCGAGGATAGTGGTCCCCGAAGCACCACGGAAACCGCAGGCCCCGGAGGCCCAGGCCCACGGCCGCCTCCACGCGCCCCGTGCTCCACGAGGCAAGAATCGGTGCGAACGTCGCTGCGATGGAACTGTGATGACAGTTTAACCACAACCTGCTCACCGTGGTCCCCTGAGCACAGGCTGCAGGAGTCGGTCTCACAACACCGCCCCCCCCATGCTCCGTGCGGGGCTGGGGCGGGCACGGCCATATTTCATACGCCTGCTTGGTGCCGAGAGCTTCAAATACGTTACTCACTGAATCTCTTTGTAAGATACATTCTTATTGATTTCAGAGAGGAGGGAGAGGGAGAGAGAGAAACATCAATGGTGAGAGAGAGTCGTGGATCGGCTGCCTCCTGCTGCTATCGAGCCCGCAACCCATGTGCCCCGACCGGGAATCAAACCGTGACCTCCTGGTTCCTCGGTCGACGCTCGACCACTGATCCCCGCCGGCCGGGCTTTCAGCCGCCTCCTGTCCGATTCTC